AAAAAACACTAAATTACAAAAGGGGCCCTTCCGTTTAGTTACGGTAAGTGCACAAGCTGGATAGGGCCATACCAGCGATATAAAAATGCATATATATCAGCAATGAAGTCATAAATCAGCATTAAATGCATCGTCATAATGTTAATTTATCTTAGCCGTCCTTCCTCTACAATAGCGCTTATGGAGTTGTCGATAAATTGAACTTTTTGTAGCAATCTGCACCCCCTTATACAAAATATAGAGTTTCTGAGGAGCGCGAAGCTTATTTTAGTTCTTATGTATTTTATAGATTCTGGATAGCTTTCTTGTCTTTTTTCACTTAGTTTTTCGGCCAATCGCTGCATCGTCCGCGTGGCTGTTGGAGCAGCGCCACCGGTGCATCCAAAAATTAGCGGGCAGAAGCTACTCTGCTCTACGTTTAAAATTCTTTGCTGATATTTGGAGTTCTTCAGCGTTTCGTGGTATTTGTATGCATCCTTATGCAGTTTTCGCGATGTTTTGGCATGGGGGTTGAAAATTTTCACATCAAAGAAAGCGCGGCTGAATCGTGAACCCCAGAGTCCGTTTGCCTTAATGTCAAGTCGTGCCTCATCTTCAGTTGTAGTTGAATTGTTGACAAAGCTTTTGCCTTGCAACGGCTGAAGTTTCGGCTCAATCTCGACGTCATGGCAAACCTTGTTCATGAGGTTGGCGAATGTGTCTCTGATTTCATTGTGTCTTATGTGTGTGTAACCACCCTTTGCACAGTGAAGTGCATGTGTCAAGTTAAAATCAGCACCACATGCACATGTGAGTGGGGTTTTGGTTGGTTCCCATCCGTATCTTAAGTAAATACCATCTCTGAACTCTGATTTATTCAGGTTGAAGTTGTATCTGCTCAGTGGTAGAGCATTGAGCCAGTTAGAGGCTCCCTTTTCAGAGGCCAGGTCGATTGCATATTTATCTGTTTCATTTAAGGAGTTAATGAGGTTTGCTTTTTTTCGATTTGTTCTATCAGTTTTCAATTTTTTGATTTTCGTACATATTTTTTCTTGCTGTGTTACTGCTGTAATAGGATCTTGAGATTCCAGTACCAGTGATGTTTCTTTAGACCATTCTAGGAAGCTTTCATGATCGGATGGCAGCTTAATGTTAAGTCCGCCCATGTTAAGGGCTAAGGAAGATATCTCACGGAACTGGGGGTTTAAAGTGTCTTTACCGACTAGGTTAGGTAATAATTGTTCTTTGATAATATTTTCACATATTTCTAAGTTTTCCATGGTGTTAGGCGTTGTCCTGGCATAAAATGAAAGCTTTTCTTGAGCTCCTTTAGTATAGCAGGCATAAACGTTTTGAGGGGAGGTTTTAGCAATTTTCGTTAGTTTATTCAAAATTTTGATTTGCTCATTCTGTTGAAATTCGAGGAACTCCTTATATTCAGATTCTGTTCCTATAACTGAGCCAAGCACTCGGGCTCCTGCCTTTATAGTGATTCCTGTATTTGCGAAGATTTTCTGAGCTTCACCGAGTTTTTCATCTTTGACAATGAGTTGGCATTTGGATGCTTTCACGTGGTAGCCGAAAAATTTACCCAGTGATACAATTTTGTCGAGGACGGTTGCTTAATTTACCGACTGCGTTTCCGTCGTTTGCGTACCATTTCTGGGTTACATCGTCTACTGATAAAAGTTTTATGAGGGGTATTATGGCTAGTGGATCCCGCTGGATTGTCCCTTCTTGAGAGTAGATTGTTTTTTTGTTAACGAATAGTTTAGATGGATTGGAGTAGGAGTTATTAATCGCTGTTAAAAGGGAAGGGCAGGTATTTTCGATGTTTTTTAATGCCAGCTTTCAGTTCAGCGAGTTGAAAGCGTTTTCGGCATCTATCAGTAAAACAGCATCGGCGGAAGTTTTGCTGTATTGATCTCTTAGCGTGTGGATTGCATATTCAATGCCACATTTTTGTCCTAGGCAGAGTTGGTAGTTTGAACCGAGCGACATGAGTTCGTTTTTTAAGCATTTAGTTGTTGTTCGCCCTGTTATCCTACGCATAACTTCTCTTATGCCTATGGGTCTTACCCCTGGATTCTTATCTAAGGGTATTAATCTGCATGCGTTATATGGTTCCATTAGTTCTGGATTTAGTTCTTCTGTGGCCAATTTGTTGGCAATTTTAGCAATTGTTTTTGAAATTTCAACTGATTGTTGCCCGAAGTGTGTTAGAATACGTCTTCATTCATTCGCATCGAGGCCAGATGGTCCATGCCATCCGTGAGTTCTCATGGCTGCCTTCTTGATATGTTGACCGTTTATCTGATCAAATATCGATGGATGGAAAGGAATTGTTTCGTTTGAGACTGGTGTAATATAGTTCTCAGTAATTGGTTCAGATGGTGGGTGTTTCCCTACGAGAGTCTGTTCAACTGTCTTACCTTTGACAATCTCGTCGAGCGAAAGAACGCCTTTAGATGTGTCTGTTAGTTTTGCAATTGCGCTTGATATTTTTCCAGTATTCATTAGTTTGTTGAACTGTTGTGCATCAGTTTCAGTTTTTCTTCTACTTCCTTTCAACAAGCGCATTTGCAGTGCCTTTCCATCGTTATATAGTCCATCCAGCTCTCCGTCTTGCCATTGCTTAAGTCGCCTTGCTATTGTTTTGGATAAAGATCCATCAATTTCGGACTTTGTTTTGCACAGTAATAAGTGTGGAAAAATCATTGCTGCGTGCATTGCGAAGGTATTTTCGTTGTTTTTTATTAGGCTGTTCAAAGTTCTTTTGAGGGTTTCAATAAAGTTATAACCAACTTTATTTTTTGACAAGATCATAAAGACCGGTTTCCAGTGGACCACTTCGGTGTATATTTTCCTGGTGGTTTCTATGAGTTCTGGACAGGGGTTTGACTATGGGTCTTGTATTGTTCTGGGTTCTATAGTGGAAGACTCTCCTGAGTTTTGTGAGTGTGGGGCAGGTGAAGGGTGAGGGTGCATTTGGGGGAGCGTGGTTGTAGCTTGGGTTGGGGGATTGCATTCATGCTTGTCGTTAGCTGAATGAAATTGGGAGGTGCAGCGATGACAACTGAAATCGTCATAGTGATCACTGCTGCGGGCTAGGCCGCTGCATTTTACATGCATGTAGCCTGGGCATGTGAAGCACCAAACACCTCCGCCTCGCAGGCTGCTTTTACAAATAAGGCAGTGTGTTTGAGTAGCCATTTTAGGGAGGACGGTGGTGTCAAGTTAGCGAGAGAATTTATAGATTAAATTTGCCAGAAAATTTCTAGAGAAGTCATTACCGTAGAACGAGAAATGGATTCCATCACGGCAGAACATTTGAGGGGTTAGATTTAGGATGAGGTTAGGCGAAACAGTAATTGTAAGGGGGTGTACAAATCTATTTATCAAATTAAACAGCACATGATTATGAATATAAATTTTGCGGTTTACTTCGGAATTATTACAGTTCTGAATTGTTTTGGGGATGATCAGTGTCTTGGGCTAAAACTTGTTAGTGACGAGGTTAATCAAGTTTTTCCACTGCTGTTCTAATGCTTGTGGATGCAGCCTGTTGTCATTGTATCCAGCAACTATTGTTACTGTATTTAGGCGCTTTGGTCTGTATTTAAAACTGTTTCAAACAGATCATGAAGCGTTGCGCCGCGGTAGGAGTGAATTGTTGATTTTACTAAAGCTGGTTTTATATATTTGGTCCTTGAAGTCCCGATAACTAGTTTCTGTGAGAACTCAGGGATGCGTCTTGCCTGGAATCGCTGCATCAACTTGAAACACAGACAACTGGGGCGAGAAAGGAAGCTCTTTGGGGTGATTTATGAATACTTTCACTTAGGGTTTAAATTTTCTGAGGCAAAGGCGATGAAAAAAAAAGAAATAAAAAAGAGAAAAAAAAGAAAGGAGTGGTACAACCTGACGTCGATTTGGAGGTCGATTCACCAGCTCACTCTTTCTTGCGTCTAGTTACGCCAGGGAAACTTCACTCGCCTACGGCTGGGACGGTGAGACTCGGTAACATAACCAGAAGAGGAAAGCCCAGCGCGCATATGATATGAAAACACACAAGCGGTAAATTTGAACAAAGAAATCTATTTAATAAGTTTATCACAACAATTAGGCTAATTGTTGTGATAAAAAGTTTTGATAGAACGTCTTTGTTACTGGTAACTTCTCTGTATGGTTTTGCATTGTCTGCAAATAAATACAATTTTTTATTTGAATGTGTTTGGCATTGAATTTATATATATTACAATCAAAACAGGTCCCATACAGATCCTTGGGGAATCCCACTCAGAACATTTTTCCATTCAGATCTACTGTCGTTTATCACAACTCTCTGTCCTCTTGTCTTGTTAATAAAAACTCGTTGATCCAGCCCAGTGTTTTTCCTTTTAATCCATATTGTTTTAGGACTTCTATCAGTCTTTTGTGCGGAACCGAGTCGAACGCTTTCTTGAAATCCAAGTAGATAATATCCGTTTCTCGGCGACTATCTTTTGTTTTTGTGAAATCTATTGTTTTTATCTATTGTTTTGATACTCAATCCTTGTTCTATTCCGAGAAAACACGTGCTGGGCTGATCCTACGTTACGTGCCATGCACGCCTAATTCGATAAATTAAACAGTTGCGTCAATCAAAATTGACCCCTCCGAATATGTTCAATTAAACCATTACCTCCACATATCGTTTAAAGCCAATTTTCCTCTGAACTGCTCCAAATAAAAGTTCGTTGATGACATGCATTTCAGGTCCTTCAGGTCGAATGTTCAATGCATAGACTTTTATGCAGTAATTGGAGAGTTATTTCTCCTTTTTCTATTATTTGCTAAAGAGCTATAATGGGAAAGACGCTTTCAATTTGTTTATAGCCACATTATCAGTTAGACTTTTTGATGAGTACAGTGCTTTGACCGCAAGAATTTGCCTAACTTAGCCTCATATGTATCTTTTTTCATTACTTCCAGGCACAAGTCAATACTCAATTATGGTCTTTTTCTTTTATTGTCTTTCCAGACTTGTAATGCGTGATATAATGGCTGATGAATTCTTGAAAATTTTGCAACAACTTCTTTCAAGTGATAATGATGCTAGAAAAGCGGCAGAGGTTAGTGACAAAAAATAAACGAATCTTCCAATAGTTCATAATAATTTTTTTCTGTGTTTCAGGACGAATACGATAAAGTAGAAAACGAACCCAAGATACTGTATCTACTTACCTCTTTTGAAAATACCAATCATGCAAAAGAGGTTAGTAATTGTTTTTGTGACTAATTTTACAGATTAAGTGAAGTGAAAAAGCTCTTATTTTTTGAAAATGACGGTAATTGCCGGTTTTATGCATTGTCAGCTAATTGATTTTGAAGTTGTTAGCTAAATGAATTTTACGTGCGGAAAAACGACCATATATCTTTGATTAGTCAACTTATACGGCGAACAACAGTTCTTACGTATATAGAGAGTGCTGTCTGTAAGGAGACAACAGCATGCGGATTTATACTCGTCAGTTAGTAGATAAATACTTTTTTTCTCAGAAATTGTTAATTACCAAATAAAATAAAAAATTACTTCAAATAGCAAAACAACAACTGAAGCATGAAACCAAGATAGCACCGGGAGTGGAGGAGAGCACCACATGGGAAATCTATCTGATAAAAAGGCCGTATGTTGGCAATGGCAAGATAAGAAAATCGCAGAAAGTGAGATACATGGTGACATAGAATTAGAGGATTGTAACATTCGCCCAAATATCACACAGCGACGGAGCGTAGAAAAAGTACCTATTGACGACTGGCAGGCGTCAGTTACCTTAATTCCACTCGTTTTTCACCGTCTCGACCTTGCCAGTTGATTTTCTGGTCTGTCTAGGGCAAAGTAAAAAGTTACTATTTTTAGGCCATCAGTCAAACGACTTTTGATCAGCTTTCGTTTGCATGCGAACACAACCACATAGCTGAGTCTCGGATCCTCAGACTACGTGATTGTCATTAAAAACACGGCTCGAACCACCTATTTCTATATGTTTTTGTGTGACAGTTTTATATTAAATCCATTGGAGATGGATTGACCTTTTCCTTTCTCTATCTACTCATGCTCTGAAATATTAAATAATAACGGTGTTTAATTCAGATCTAGGACATTACAGCAACTGTTATGGCTAGTTTACACAGTCCCTTCACATATAACAGTCTCTGGGGGACCAAGCCTCCGCTCCCGTGATTTTCTTGAGACAACACTCTTATCTCCTATATTTCGTGTCCCGGGAGGGTTCCGTGGTATTTCTCTTCCCCCCACTGAAGCCTCCGTCTCCACAAATATCCGTCACTAAGGTCCTTATCGTGTGTTATTGCCACGATAAGAGGCTCCGTAATTTTCTCGTCTCGGATACAACCGTTCGTCACAAAATATGGCGTCGTTCTGATTTTTCTCTATTTTATTCAAAATGGCCGTCTTTTTTCTATTTCTCAGAAATGTTCTCCTTCAAATCGAAATTTTAAAAATAAAAATTCCAGAACATTCTGACCCTCCGTCGCAACACTTTTCTGTTCGTAAGGCCTTTAGTCACTTTTTTTTTCGTCGCGGGAAGGTTATACTGTGTCATCCGGCGGAATGGCACATACTCCCCGGACAAGTCTCCATCAATGTCCCTATTGATCGCACAACACCGGGTTATCGTCAAGTAGGTATCCAGTTTTCTGTAACCAATCTTACAAATCGCATAAGAAAATGAAATTTATCTACTCCACCTCAACTCACTACGTGTTCACAAATGGCATCGTACTACATCTCACTGCCTTTCAACATTTTCACAAAATTTGCACCATGAGGAGTGTCCTAGATAAAATTTCTTTTCTGACTACTTACGTCGTCTTGTTATACAACTTCTTTTCGCTCTTTGTGATTAAAAAGTGGGACGTGGCACGGCCACGCACCCGTTAAAATTAACTTAACTTCACTCACCAAGTATAATTAGTCATTTATGCGGTCCTTTCAATATTAAAACTAAGAAACTCTGTGGCTAGGAAAGTTATTGAGTTACCCACCCTTCTCGAGCGAGTTTACTCAAACTTACCATGTCGCCACACAGTGAATTTGTGTCTTACACAGGTTAAAAACTTCAGTCGTGAATAAATAGGTAAATATACTCACCTATGTTCCTTATATACATACATAGATAGTAGTAACTAAAATCAACAATTTCAACAATTTTAACAATTGCAACAATTTTCAAAGTTTGGTCTGACCAAACTAAATCAAAACAAAAAGTTTCACAAGTTCAATAATCAAAACTTGGTTGATTTGTTCAAGTTTTTACACACAAAGACAATCAAGTTTTTTCTCCTTCTCTTCTCTTCCTCCGTCATCTTCATTCCATCATTTCTCCATCCTGATGTTCAGCGTCACTGTCTTCCAGAACTTTCTCTAACATGTCCAGAGAGTTGCGGGCCGTGCCCCAACCCTCCTGCTCCAACAGCCTCGGTTTGCAACAAGGTAGTAAGTCCACATTCACCTTCTGCTCCCGGTTCCTGCAAAAGCTGTTGTGAAGACACAGGCTCACGTTTCGTTCTAGGTCAGCTCTTAAGACCTCTTTCTTTTCATCTTCAGTAACACAAGGCGCTCCAGCTACTCGCTTCACCGCAGTGGTGACCGCGTTTCTATGCGTCAGGAAAGCTCTCTTATAGGCTCCTGGTCCTATGTCTAGCTGGAAAGATTGATAGGCTTCCGTGTTCCTTGACATGTGACGCTTCGCGCGTTCATACATCCAAGATGTCATCACTGCACGGAACCAAGGCATCAATCTTTGCCTTGACCATATTCTTTCAATGGCTTTAGGTATTCTCAGAACCTTGCAAGTGGTTCTGAAAAGATCCAATTCACTACTCATTTTCACGTTGCTCAGCTGTTCAGGAGTCGGCACGGCCGTCTCCTGCTCATTTGTGTCCGCATAAGCCTCCAACCATCTCACTGCTAGCATGGCGCTAACCACCACGATTGACACTGGTTGATTCTGATCGGGCAACCCCGTGGAGTACAACTCCTCCACGTCCCAAATTAGGATCAGGTTCCCACGTTTGGGGTACCACAACGTCTGCGCTAAGCAGTGGCAAGGATATTCCCCGTGGGTTCTCACTATGTTCCTTCGGGTTCGATACCCTGAGGCTCCCAGCAACGGTTCCACTTCCATCAGGATTCTATGTAGATCGTCTTTCTCTTCTATGGTGGGGAATTCAGTGGGTAACGCTCCACTCGCTTTCTGCTTCTGGAACTCACTCACGTTGCCTTCGTTCAGTATCATGAACTCTTCACCCACAACGTCTTGCAACTCGCCTTCGGATCTCTTCGGGACTGCCCGAAAGATCTTTGCCAACAAGTCATATGACCTCTCTGACATTCTGGCCAACCTCACGCATTTTGGCACAGAGAAAAGCTGGTCAACCAACACCTGTTGCGTCCTCGCATCCATCACCACCATGTGCGTAGGATACTTGCTATTGCAGTATGGCGCGGAGCTTGAACCCACCATATATTTTGAACCAGTAGGTCTGTGATAGGCTTCACTATCCCTCAGATTCATTTCATTCTCTAGGGCTTCTCGCCAGCCTCCAATCTTTTGCTCTGTCTGTAATGCTCCAGGGAATATCTCCACGCTGAGGGACGCCACTAGCTCATGGGCACGCTCCAAGCGCTCGAGCGATTCTATCGAACTCGTCATGCTACAAAATCCCAAGGCTGTGATCAGGTTTACGTCCGTCACCCCATGGCAGTCTGCGACCAATTCCATGGCACTCTTATCTGACATGCTTAATCTTCCATACAATCGTGCCAGTTGTCGATGCTGCTCGCTCAGCGTAATCAGGCAGTGTCCCACGTTACAAACATGTCCTTCCATCCCACTGTGTTGAGCCAAGCATGTGCCTTGCTCCAACCAATCACTCGACGTACTTTCCTCGGACAGCTCCGTGGACGGGTTGCTCTTCTTCTTCATCAATCTCATGCTTAGCAGGTGATGTATCATGGCCAGATCATGTAAACTCGCATCATCATCCCTTTCCAATATGACATCCGCGGTCATGTCCCAGATTAAGCCTGCGTTAGGATGGGGACACCAGGAAGGCTTCATGAGTTCCCACATCACCACTAGACTGGTTTTCAAGGGACCGTCCCAAGAACCACAATCAAAACTCACTTGCCCTTTTAGCTCGGGAATCGAGGGCTCGACTACTCGTTCTTCCAAAATAATTCCAAGCTTGGGTTGTTCCACCATCAACATTCCAATTTCCTTAATCCGTTCAACCCAGAAGTTGAGCACTGTGACTTGCTCGTAGTCGAAGTATGCTTCCCTGGCTTCTTCGTTCACGAAGGGATTATACGCCATCCCTGGTATGCCAGACACGTATTGGAACGACTTCAGTCTCCCTAGGGTTGCAAACTCTTTTTGTCCTCTGACCGCTTCAATCAAGTCTCGACTCACTTTCAATTCTTTGTTGGAGTATCTTCTCACTTCTTCCAACTTGCGATAGCTTTCCATATCATTCGACTCCTTGTTTGGCACGGTCAATGGCATGTCCTGATATAGCTCTAGGAGTGCCCTAAGGAAGTTCCTTTCGCAATCAACTCCCTTTTCCCGAATGATCTTTATACATTCTCCCAACACAGGAGTGGGGATGCGACCCACCACAAACCTGACAAAGCAAAGGGCATCCTTCCGTTTAGCCCATGCTATCGCTGAATCGTCTTTTGAGATCAATGTTCGTAAAGCTTCCATCAATTCTAGCTCCTGTTCTCGTGATTTCGAGTCGTTGCTGGCTTCATACTCCGCCCTTTTGATGCCCATCAAGCACCAAGCCAGTCGTACTTGCAGATCAGTTCTCACGCAAGGATGAGCCAGGTATGCTGCTACAGTCGCAGGTGCATTCATCGTCTCATCAAAGTATTTCTGGAGGGCCGCCCTCCAAGAAATCTCTAGCAACTTTTCTAATCCAATTTCGTTCGCTTCTGATGACATTACTGTCCCATATTCTTTTCGATTGAAGTTGGAGTTCTCCGTAAGCCCCTTCAAGTATTCTTGCATGGCTCGCTTCTCGTTCCAAGCCATCAGGTGCCCTCTCGCGGAGTTCCTCGCTTTCAACATTTCCACATAACCCCCTGCCGGATCTCCCATGTGGACCGATTCCGGCACAGTTATTCGACTGTACTCGACCACGTCGAGTTGTCCTTCCAGTTTCAACTTGGCCATGTTGATTCGCGAG